GTCAGTTCTCACAATAATAGTTAAAAACTAGAATAATGTAAAGGGAATATGCTGAAATGTAGGCCTAGCATTGATGATCATTACTAAAGTCGGTGTGATAAAAAAAACAGTCTTGATTATCCATTTTTGGATTAAATCAATGAACGTAAAGCAGCAAATCGGATCCAATGAAAATTTGACACATTAGATGGCATCGAGAGTTGATTATGGTCTTTTCATGTTAATAAATGTCTAATTAATAGTTTATATAACTTTTCAGGCCAAAAGGAAGACCTACAATAGGCAGATTTAACTCTTGCATAATGTATGTCTAAGCTGATATCAAATTAGATTTATGTCCAGGGCCCTTATTCACGTAAACTTAAACTAAGTTACAATCGAAATTTTAAAAAATACTGCAACTTCATTGGATATATGCAAATTGATTTTACTGGTCAGCCAATCGAATTGCAGTATTTCTTAAAATTTTGATTGTATCTTAGTTTAAGTTTTCGTGAATAAGGGCCCAGTATTTATATAGTTTGGGTTTTTTTTATACAAAGGGGGTTAATAGAACTGGATATAAATTATTCTCATAATTTTCATCTTCCTGATGGATCTAACTTTATTATGTTTGCTGTACGAGTCCATTATGAAACTGCACATAAGACAAATTACCTTATTGTCGTACAATAATATTAAATATTTTGTTAGACTTATAGTCCGTTCAGACGCTTATTTTTAAACCAGTTCATAATCGCTGGGGTTTTTAAGACAGCATCGTGTTGCGTTCACACGTACTATAAGCCAAACCAGTTTAACTATTCTGACCTCTTCGGTCGGAGGTTAGAGTTAATTGCGCATGGGTAGCTTCATCTTCTTTATTCGGTTCTCGCACGCTTTAGATAACATTGGCACAGTCTGACCCCGATATTTTCACAGGAATATAACTTACTGCGTACTGCGCATGCTCAAAGCAAGCTGGAGCTGGGGTTTTTAAGCCAACCCGTTCAGACGGCTAAGATGAACCAGTTTAAAATAAAAATCCTTCTCGAAGACAGGTTGCGAGCTGGGGTTTTTAAACTGGTTTATTTGCTCACATGTGCGTTCAGATGCTTAAGTTAAACTGGTTTAACGATCCCCGGGGTTTTTAAACCAGTTCAACTTAAGCATCTGAACGGGCTATAAGATATGGCTAACTGTACCAACAAAGCTAAAGTAGCTCTTTCAAAGAGATATTTTACATTGTCTTCAACAACTGTGATAGCAGAAAAGTTAAAATTACTTATTGTGTTTCTCATGAATTAGATATTTCATTATGTTTAGAATATAATGGAATTCATCAATTTCCTTTAAGAAGATTGTGGTGATTACTACAGAATCTATTCACAGATCTGTCCTAACAAAATATACCATGCCTGATCTTTTAAATCTCTAATCCTGGCTTTCACTACACATTCATTATGTCTAATAGGAGTGGTGGACCGATTCTGAAGTAATTATTATGAATTCCAGTATTTATGGTATTTGGCAGTTTAATAATAATACAGTGGCCTATAAAGGTTAAAGACCTTTAATTTTTCCATTGTAGGAAATAAAAATAAATTTGAGTGGTAAAGTAAAAATTAAAACAAACCTCTAAGTTAAACCAAGGATATGATACTAAAAAAAAAATAAAAAAAATTGTCATTATTAAAGATAACATTTATAGCATTACATTGTAAGCAGGAAATTAACCTTGAAAGAAGGGGGAATTTTGACAGAACTTCAAAGATTTATAGCGCAAAATTCATGTATGTGTGTCGATTCTGATTTTTGACGGCTTCATAATATGTAGTATGGTACTTCCATTCCTAGATGTCAATTTGTTCGGCAGAACTATAGCTGAACCTGGAAATTGGATACAAAGTTTTTTTTTATGATTGATTTTAGTAGCCTAGGATGTCCTCTTTCAAAATCTGCCGGGTGAACCTCGGTCACCCTTGAGCGTTTTGAGAAATTCAAGATGGCGTCCAAGACTGCTGCCATTTCAAATAATCCCCTATAACACCCATAGTATTTAGTCTGTACGAGGATGATAATTTTGGTGTCTAACCGTATGTTTATGGGGTTAAAGAATACATTAAAATTGTTCATTATGTTTTTGGGTGATTAAATGATAGTAAAATCCAAAATGCCAGACAGTTTGGCCCTTTAACTCGTTAGCAGCAGTTGGGGGCGATTATTTCACCAAACTATATCTAGAGACAAACTATATATTTCTGGACATAGGAGCATATGAGTGATACGATAACACCACATACATGCCTATCTGGGGCACATGAGGAAAGATAATATTTGTAGATGACTTCAGTTATTATGTAGAGTCAGTAGACGATATGACATGACCCCACTTGGGTAATAAAATATAATGGAACTGTTAAATTAATAAAGTTACTGGAGATTGTAGGGTAGGCCTACCATAACTAGGAAAATATTATTAAATATGTATTGCAATAGGACATTGACTCCACTCTCATGCGGGGTCCATGTATATGTAACTTTACCAAAGTCAAAAATGTTTATAATACAGTAAACGGGATATAATCATTGTCAAGGTTGTAATTTCAGCATTTTGAACTGCAGAATGTATTCAAGTAACACAAGTCAGAATGTTCTAATCTATGTAATTCAACAAGGACATTATGTATGTTACAAACAATCTATTATTGTTGCATACAAAACACATCAGTCAATATTTGAAAAGCACAGACATGTGGGGAACAAAAATATACTGCAATAGCTTACATGCAGCCCAGGATTAAACATTAAGCAAAATTAATAAGCACTTGCTTTGGGTCTCAAGGGAAGAGGGGCGCCTCATAATTTTTTTTTTAAGTGCCAGATTTACAATCGAAGATAATATTTGATCTTACGGTTTTGTACTGGTATTGTTTTTATTTTGAATTATATATATGGGATCTTATCCGATCTTGACGAAATATAGGTTTATCTCCAAAAGATCTTGGTTCCTTTCGATATTGACATGTATCGGATCGAAACTTCATGGATTATGGCCCCTGATTGTACGAAAAATCACGTTTTTTGCTTGTAGACACAATTTTTTATTTGCCCACATTGAGATGTGGTCGTATATTGTCGTCACCCCTGTCCATCCTTACAGCATTCACAATTACTGCCAGAGTTATAGCCCTTGATCACTTTGAAAAATGTATGTCTATGTCCCAAAGATCACGGTTCCTTTCGATATTCCCGCATATCGGACCGCAACTTCCTTGAATATGGCCCCTGATTGTACGAAAAATTACAGTTACTCTGGAGGTCACAATGTTTAATTTTAAAAACCGTTTAAATATATCACCGTTACACCATAACGATGGTTGAGTTCGAACGAAACTGCCTGGCAACATGGCTGCTTCTTGTATGTAAATGTATGTAATACCAAGGTCATAATTTTTACCTGATTTTGATGGAACTGCTCGGCAAAATGGCCGCTCCTTGTACGCAAATAGTGTAAAAGTATGTAATACCAAGATTGTGGACCACTAGAGGTCAGAGTTTTTTTTATCTTATTTTGATGAAATTCAAAATATTTGTTTATATCCCAAAGATCTTGGTTACTGTAGATTTCCTGTAGATATTCACGCATATCGTAACTGCCTGGATTATGGCCCCTGATTGTTAAAAAAATCGCTTCTTTTTTTGAGTTTGTTCTCTGTCCATCTCTTGCAAAATGTGGGCGTATCTTGCATGGCAACCACTTGTAAAATTTTCAAATGAAAGAGAATTCTAATACCAGTATGTATGACTGAAGGGCAAAAAGAATTTGTGTTATTTATACTATTTGGAAAAAAACCAAAACATTGTTATAACTTATAATAAAGATGTTCAGCTCCATAGGGGTCCTTAAGCGACAACTTAAATTTAGATTAAATTTAGACATATTTTTCCTTTCACAACTAAACAAATTTGACAGATTCCAACATATTTGTTGTTCTACTGGCTTTATTCTGATCTGTTCAAAGGCCAGAAGTTGATTGGATTCATGTAGTGTTTGTTTATAGGAGCAGATTTAGACATGTTGCTAGGTGTGGAGCAAGATCCTGCAAAGGGGCAAATTTAGACATTATTAAACATTTTTATACGCCTACATTTTCATGTGGACGTATATTGTTGTCGCCCTTGTATCGAACTGTCACTGTAATGTATTATGGCCCCTGATAGTTGAAAAATCATGTTTTTAGCTTGTGGACCCTCTAGAGGTCACAATTTTTGTCCGATTTTGATGCAACTTGAAATGTATGTTTACAACCAACCGAAAGATCTCAATTCCTTTCGATATTCGCGCATATCAGGCTGTAACATCCTGGATTATGGCCACTGATTGTACGAAAAATCGCGTTTTTAGCTTGTGGTCACTCTAGTGGTCATTCCAGAGGTCACAATTTTTTATCTTATTTTAAAAACCATTCAAATATATCACAGTCACACCCTAGTGACGGTTGAGTTTTAAATAGTGTAAAAGTATGTAATACCAAGGTTGTGGACACTCTAGAGATCACAATTTTTATCTGATTTTGATGAATCTTAAAATATATATTTATATCCCAAAAATCTTGGTTCCTTGTGATATTGACACATGTCAGACGATCGCATCCTGGATTGTTCGAAAAATTGCTTTTCTTTTTAGCTTGTTCTCTGTCCATCTCTTGCAAAATGTGGGAGCATCTTGCATCGCAACCACTTGTATCTGTCTATAAACAGATTATTGTATTCTGGTCATGTGAAATTGCTCCCATTGATATTGGTGCATATCAGACTGTAACTTCCTGGATTATGGCTCCTGATTCTACAAAACATCATGAAACTTTAAATACATGTTTATATCTGAAAGATCTCGGTTTCTTTCGATACATGTATTAGTGCATATCAGATTGTAACTTCTGGAAAAGGGTAGCTTATATATGAAACTCTGTGTAACTGTCAATAATTCTAGATGGTTTTTTTTTTTTATATTTCAGGTTTTACAGTCAAGAAAGAAGTTATCAGTAAAGAATGGGTCTGTAGCTAAATAGAAAAGAACAAGTTTAAACAATCATGGGAACTCCTTAACTGCAACAAACATGCCCCCACCTAAAAAACCGAAAAATGGCCCAACCACCGTGGAACAGTTCCTCTCCGGTGAGGAACTTAAGAATATGACAGTAAAGAAGGAAAAACTACAGACCCAGTCTTCTAATGGAACGAGCAGTTCATCAGACGTGGAGGCCCAAAAATCTCCAAACAGCCCACTGCCAGAACAGGGAAACTCAGGTCCTCATCAAGCAGCTACTGGTAATGGAGACAGTAATCAGAACAGTCATAAAATACTGAGAAAAATATTCACAGCCCAGCAAGAAGCAACTGTTTCAACTGTACATAGATCTCTTTCATCTTCAAGCGATGAACCAGCATATGAAAGGGATTTAACAGAAGTTAAAATAGAATATGACAATGATTATGAAACAAACAAAGAATCTGCAGCTACTACTGTCTCTGTGCCTTTGACAGGGAACAACTCAACTACCCCAACACGAAATGGTAAGATGAAAACCATGGCAGCAGTTCAGTACCTCAAGCCACAGGATAAATCATCTCCTGGACAAATCAAGGAACATTTTGACACCAAACAAACGGGTCACACAGAAATCAGTCGAACAATCCTCACAACCGATCACCTCCGCATCTATGATCAGTCTGTTGTCCGTCTACCTCTTTCAGATACCTCAGTATCCCAGCCAAGTACCTCATCCTTATATTCAGAAATGGCTGTGCCCAATCTACCTCCTTACAGTTACCCAGCAGTACAGCCTGCAGTCAACAATGAACCTTTTGATTTGTCGGTCAAGAAAAACAGCATCCTGGAAATGATGCAAAATTCAAAAGTTACCCTCAGTAGATCCGATCAGTTCGGAGACATTATGCCACGGGTTGGAATTCTACCTCAGGGACCGGGTAAGATGACACCGGCCACATTATCTCTATCTCAAGCTCTTTACCTCACAGGCAGCTCGGCCAAATCAGCCAGCAGCAGCATCTCCCCTGTCACAGGGGCACATCTCAGGGAAGTCAGGGGCTCAGATGTTCTTAATGCGAATCCTCATCGAGTTGTCAACCTTTTAACCACTCGAATCCTTGCGCCAGAAGATTATCCGGTGTCTACTATCATTGCTGCTCGATCTAATAATTCAAGAGAAAGCCCATTTTCAGGGCATGAGAGCTTACAAGAGATACAATATGGGTGAGTTATAGAAGAGTTTTAATTTTGAAATAATTAGATGAGTTTATATCCAAATTAGTGTTAACTTGGTAATGTTATTACACTTAAATTTTTATACACTTGCATTGAAATGTGGTTGTACATTGTCGTCATCCTAGTCTGTAGGTTCGTTGTGCACAAATTCTTGTGGATGCATGAGAGACAAAAGTTATCTGATTAACACAAAGTTTATATCTTCATGCAACAGGAAATCCTTCGTATAATTACTGTTAGAGTTATAGCCCTTGATTAATTTGAAAAGGTGAAATTTATAAATCAAACTAAAATTAACATCAACCAATCAAATTTTAATTATTTCTGATAATACCTTCATGGGTTGTCCCTCTTTAAAAGTTTTAAGTGTCTTATGAATTCTCCCAATAAATACAACAGATTAAATATGTGATAACCTTTGTGAATTGCTCAAAAGACATTGCTGCTGGGGACATATGTTTTGTTGCCTGGCAACCTATCTTTTCATTATTTAGATCATACATTCACATATACAAAGTAGGATGACTCGAATAAAATACACTTAAAAAGGGCTTACACATAGATCAGAGTCTTTGGATATGCAAATTTAGAATGTTAGCCTATTGCAATGATTATTAATTGTCTACATTCAATATATGCAAAAAAGTGGGCTGTTTAACCCCATTTCATGTTATTTATTTTACATTCAATATATTCCCAGTATATAGTATTTACGCATAGAGAACGTTGGCATCATATTTCAACACTAAGAACATACAATGCATTTAGATCAACATTTAGGACACCCTATTGACAATTTAAATGTAACTAGCATTCATTGATTTTATGAACATTAGAAGATACAAGACATCATGAAAATCAAATACAGATCACCAAATTAAGTTATTGTCCTTGTCATTTGTTAACATACGATAATAACAACATTTAACATGATATAAAGACTAGTCACTTCTTTTGGATCACAACCTTACTGCACTAGGTGCAAAGTTTTCCTCGAAATATCCTACTGGTAAATGACATTTTTTCAGACTTTTGATTGCACAATAAATGCACACCTATTTCAAATCACAATTCAATTTTGATTCATCACAATAAGGTGTAATGAAATTCTGCAAAAATGACACTGTTGATGGATATCAATTAAATTTAGATCCTTATGCAACAGTAGATTTATATTATATAACAGGGCACTCATTTCTCTCATATTAGTCTACTCTATAGCCTACTGGTATTGACATTTAACTGTTGATTGATGATTGTTTTAAAGTTTGCAAAGATTTTCAGTGCAAAAACATAAACTCTCATGTATTAAAACTCTGATTTAATTACCTTATTTAACCAAATAAATGAATACCGTACCGGTAATCAAACTCTTGAGTCTTGACCAATTTTTTGAAGTGAGAGCTCTAATATATAAATAAATACTTATGTTTGTTCTTAAAGGTAAGTAAGCCTATTCTATTAACTTTTTTTATTATTATTCCAATGAAGCAACAACTAATTATTTGGCTCCTTCCACTTCAGAGTCTAATATATTATTAGTTATAGTGTTTCCTTGAAATTTAGACAATTCTGTTCTGCCAAAGGTACAGAACAAAAATAATTATGCTTTTAAACAGTGTTATTAGGATTCCACACTGAGTAGCTAGTATGAAACACTGTTATTTTTGTTCAGATTGTTATTTTCTTGTAATTTTATATTGTTTTATTTCATATTTTAATATATATATGAGGAATTACTAATGGTATTGCTTTAAACTTTTTGCTTTTAAACTTTTTGGCATTAGATTAGTAAGAAAAAAAAGGTCTGAAATGTGTCATTTTGAAGAATTTTTAACTCAAAAGTTTTGCATGTTTTACTCTAGATTACCTCCCCTTGAAAAAGCATCTTTTATTTTTGGGGGTGGGGGGGGGGTCTTATAAAAAGATTAATATCCAACTGACACAGAATTAAATGTATAAATTTAACTTAGGTTTCTGGACAACAATTGACATATTTCATTGACAAGGTTAAATGGCACCGTTGAAACCCCCAGTAGCTGCATCACAGATCTAGTTCTAGAACAAAATAATTGATTAGCTTCATATGTTTTATGCTGAATTGTATTATTCATGTGTTGCATTGTGTGATGCATGACAGTATTATGTTCGTCTATATTTATGCTCCACTTCAATTTTTCAAGGTAAACATGGTTGCAGAAACAGTTGTAACTAGAACTGCGATGCAGTAATGACGGGTTTCACCGGTGCCACTTTACCCTAAACATGTTACTTCCCGTACCAATGAAACCATTAAACAGGTTTCCACATAAGCATTGCACACATCAAATAAAATGGACGCCGAATCAACAAAATCCAGCAATATCAATTCATTTTATACATTTGTTACATGTAAGTGTACTGTACTTCCGGTGATAATGAAAATGTTCAATTACTTTTATGAAATCAGAAATGACATAGGGCATCACATGGTGAAAATTGTATGTAAATCGAATAACAATTGCCACTTTTATAGACCAAAAACCTTGAAAAGTGACTTGTAGAAAATCGCCTATTTCTCTGCAACCGTACAAGTTAGAAACCATTTTCTGGTATCTGTATGATCGTATGGGTTCAATCTATTTGCTGATTGGAATCAAATATCATAATTTTAAAAACAATACAAATAAGACTCATTTGAAAAAAATATCTGTTTTGAAGGCTAAAAATACAGTTTTTGCCAAAATGACGTTACTTCCGGTGATAATGAAAATGTTAAATTAGTTCTATGAAATCATAAATGACACAAGATATCATATGGTGAAAATTTTATGAAAATCGAATAATAACTGACACTTTTATAGACCAAAAACCTTGAAAAGTGACTTAAGGAAAATCGCCCATTTCTCTGCAACCGTACAAGTTAGAAACCATTTTGTGGTATCTGTATGATCGTATGGGTTCAATCTATTTGATCAATAGAATCAAATATCATAATTTGAAAAAAATAACAAATACGAATCATTTGAATAAAATATTGTTTTTTGAAGGCTAAAATTTAAGTTTTGAGCAAATGACGTCATTTCCGGTGGCAGCGCAAGGGGTAAAATGGTTTGACATAGTCCACTATGGCATTAGGCATCCAATGGCGAAAGAAAATTGAAAATCGAATAATAATTGATTCTTTTACAGCCAAAATTACGTGAAAAGTGACTCATGCAAAATTGCCTATTTCTCGGCAACTGCTTATATTACAAACTAATTTTCACATACATTCTCTTCGTATGGATTATAGCTACAAGTTTATAAAAGTTACGTAAAAATATTTTAAAATCTGAAAAGCCTGAATGAGTTGTAAATAGGTCAATTTTACGCCTTTTTTCACCTCTTAATCCAATTTGCTAGAAAATGAAAAAGAAATTAAAAAAAACTGCTTCCGACATTTTTTGCGCCTTTAAAGGACACACTCTTTGAGTCATATAATTTTTCAAAAAAATAATATTTGTTTTCAAAAAATGGTACCTAACTGTCAAAATTGTAGTTTTTGGTAAAATTATGCCACTTCCGGTGCCGACAGATAACACTTTTGGTAATAAAAAAAATGACAATTGAGACAACGAAGCATATGAACTTTGTTTTATACAAATCGAACAATAAAAAATTAAGCTAGGACTGAAAAACTGAATTAGCCAATGGAGGCCAAGGAAAATTACTGAGACAAAAAATTTTAACATTTTTGCGCAAGTCAGATGACTCTTTAATTCTGTGCACAACACGAGTAAAAAATATTCATCAATAAAAAAGTTTTTTGTAAAATTTTAAATTTCCGAAATTTGGCGCCTAATATCTTCGAATTTTTGCTGAAAATCAAAAATCGAAAGTAGCGCAGCTATGTGCCCTGTCTCCAGCTATGCCAAAATGTATCGAAAGTTAAAATCCCATGATTATTGTTAAAATTACCGCAATATTTGTAAAAACGATAACTTCGGTGATTTCGGACATTTCGCATTGTCGCAGAACGTTCAAAATAGCTTTATCCTCTAAGTCACACCCACTTTCCCAGTAAAACCGAAGAAATCGTAACGATGCGACAAGTAGTTGCTGAGATCTACTCAAAACAAAAGAAGAATAATAATAATAATAATAATAACTAGAACTGCGAAGCAGTAATGACGGGTTTCACCGGTGCCACGTTACCCTTGAACTTATGTCACTTCCGGTACCAATGAAACCGTTAAACAGGTTTCCACATAAGCATTGCACACATGAAATAAAATGGACACAGAAACAACCAAATCCAGCAACCAATTCATTTGCTACATGTCAGTGATCCTGTCAAAATTACATTACTTCCGGTGATAATGAAAATGTTAAATTGGTTTATGAAATCAGAAATAGCATCATCACATGGTGAAAATTTTATGTAAATCCTATAATAATTGCCACCTTTATAGACCAAAAACCTTGAAAAATGACTTGTAGAAAATCGCCTATTTCTCTGCAACCGTACAAGTTAGAAACCATTTTGAGGTATCTGTATGATCGAATGAGTTCATTCTATTTGTTGATTGGAATCAAATATCATAATTTTAAAAACATTACAAATCTGATTCATTTGAATAAAATATCTGTTTTGAAGGCTAAAAATACAGTTTTTGCCAAAATGACGTTACTTCCGGTGATAATGAAAATCTTAAATTACTTGTATGAAATCGTAAATGGCATTATGTATCACACAGTGAAAATTTCATGAAAATCGAATAATAATTGACACTTTTATTGACAAAAAAACCTTAAAAAGTGACCTGTTGAAAATTGCCTATTTCTCCGCAACTGAACAAGTTAGAAACCATTTTGTGATATCTATATGATCGTAAGGGTTCATTGTATTAGTTGATTTGAATCAAATATCAAAATTTTAAACAAATAACAAATATGACTCATTTGAATAAATTACTGGTTTCGAAGGCTATAAATACAATTTTTGCCCAAATTACGTCATTTCCGGT